TCTGATGATGTTTTTGATGTTAGGTGTCCATTTTAGATCTTGAGATATGGTAGAACCTGGTACCTGAGTGCGAAATGGACGCCTTCAGCTCGAAAAATGAACATTAGAAGCCAAGAAATTCCAACTTTTTTGGGATGGTGGTGGAGTCACATTTTGCGTTAAATTGGTAGAGTTTGACTTTTTAATTTCCTGAAAAAAATCACTCCCAACAGATCACACACACACAAAAAAAACACTCACAATAGAACGGGTCTGCTCAATGAGATTTTGATGGTAGAACCCTGACGGTGGAACTGAGAGCCACACTCAAGGCAAATAAATATCTTTTTGTGGGAACAGGCAGGTCCATCCTCCTATAAATAAAGCAAAATGCAATTTTACTGAGAGTTTTTAATGAGGGGTGTGTGTTTGGGTGTCCAGAAATCTTTTTCATTTTTTTCCCCCAGGCTCAGAGCCTTGGAGGGGTACCGTGTTTCCACAAAGATAAGACTGGGTCTTATATTAATTTTTGCTCCAAAAGATGCATTAGGGCTTATTTTCCAGTTAGGTCTTACTTCTGGGAAAGTAAGGAATTCCTTACTATTGAGGAATTCGCAGAGCAACCCTTGAGTAGCAAGGGTGTGCACATGAAAAGCGATTGAGAGTAGTTAGGAAATAACACAGCCAACACACAGATACACTGAGTTGTGTTTACTTTCAGGAAATAGTAATAAAGCACAGTCCAATAAACAGTGCAGGTCATACACAGATAAAGCAGTAGATGGTTAAACAATAGTCCAGGGATAATCCAATAACAAAGTCTTCTTACCAGTCGTCGTAGTCATACACGATAAACACTTGCAAACCGTAGCAAACACAGCAAAAAGCATCAAAAAGAGAATCAAAGAGAAACAAACCAGGTTTCTAGCTCCCTTTTAATGACATTGGCTACGGAGCTAACCAATCAGGACACAGTATGATGCAATACAGTGATACAGCAGTCTTAAAGCTATAGTTATGATTTATATATTGCCAACCCAACCAGTTAGGTAAAATCATTTCCTAACAAATACGATGCTAAATGTATCTGTCTGGCTGACGAACTTAACTGGGGCTTATTTTTGGGGTAGGGCTTATATTACGAGCATCCTGAAAAATCATGCTAGGGCTTATTTTCCGCTTGAGTCTTGTTTTAGGGGAAACAGGGTATTGGATATCATCTTGTCTGACCCTCTGGTCCCTGGAGGATTGCAATGTAGGATGGACCATAGGCCACCTATATTTTAGAAAAGAACTTTTGTAGCTGTGGGTTGAACTGTGGGGTCCTTTGGTACTCTCTGAGCGGGATGGTTTTCTTGCAAACGTTTCATGACCCAAGTAGGTAACATCATCAGTGGTAGAAAGAAGTGGGATTTGTGGAGAGGAGGACTGTGGGGTCCTTGGTGCTCCCTAAGCTTGATGGTTTTCTTGCAAATGTTTCATGACTCAAGTAGGTAACAACATCAGTGCTAAAAGGGAGTGGGGAGGAGGAGGAGGAGGAGGAGGAGGAGGAGGAGGAGGAGGAGGAGGAGGAGGAGGAGGAGGAGGAGGAGGAATGTCAGGTCCTTGCTGCTCTCTGAGCTTGGTAGTTTTCTTGCAGCTATTTCATTATCCAAAATAGGTAATGAGTCGCCTTATAGGGAAGATTGGGGGTTGGGTGGAGGTATCATCAAAATTGAATAAATAAAACTAGGTAAAATCATCAGTGCACTCCCTTCTGGCACTGATGGTATTACCTAGTTAGGTAAAGAAATGTCTGCAAGAAAACCGCCCAGCTCAGAGAGCACACCAAGGACCGCACAAGCTATATTTTGTAGTAGCTTTGTTGTCAGATAACTGCTCCTCTTATTTGTTTGTTTTGGATGTTTAATTATTGCGTGCTTTAAAATGGCTTTTAAGTCCCTTGGAGTTTTGAAATATTAGATAGATACAAATCTAAATCAAATAACTCCAAGGAAAAAAAAAAAACCCACAACCCATCACTTTGCAGCTTTAATATCACTGTTCAAATGTTCGCCATGATCTATTTCCTTCTCGTCTCTGTAAATTCTATTCTGGCAACATTTTTTTTTTTTTTTGGCTTGGCATCCTATCTTTTTTGATATTTGAAAACAATGACCTGGCCTCTCTTTTATTCTCCAGACTAAATCTCTAAAACCAGGGTTAGGATTCAGCCGGTTCAGGCGAAGCGGATGTTAATTTTAATTTCGCCGAACTGGTAGTTGCAAGGATTGGTTGACCCCGCCACTCCCCTCCCAAGAATCTCCACGCAGTCCGTTTTAGATGCCAGATAAGTGCAAGGCCCACACGGAGGCTCTGGGAGGGCAAAAAACAGGTCTACTGGAAGTCCGGGAATGGGTCTGTTTCCCGCCTCCGGAGGGCTTCCAGAGCCTGGGGAAGGCTGTTTTTGCCCTCCCGGAGGCTCAAGAAAAGCCTCCGGAGCCTGGGGAGGGTGAAAATGCCCTTCCCCCACTGTGGTGCAGGAAGCTGACTAGGCCACAGCCATGCCCACCCAGCAATTGGGCAGAGAACCGGTTGCTAACATTTTTCAATCCCACCCCTGTCTAAAACGTTTCGTCTTTCCGTGGCTCCTGACACCACCATAAAACCAGTTCAGTGAAATATTTCCAAGGGGGGTCTCTCTGTTGTGACAAATTGCCACCCTTTCCTTATTCCTTATTATAAAAAAAATCAGCTAGATGCGATAGGCCCTCCTTTGCAATTGCGAATGCATTTCCTGGCTGCCTTTTAAGAATAATATTTTAATATTTAAGACAGGAGGCTTTCTATTTCTCTCCTTTCACACCGCTCGAGCTGTCACTTTGATCTACACCTTTACAGCAGTTAATAAACAGATTCAAAATACACTTTGGACTGGTTTCATCTGCCCTTCCCTCCAGCAATTTACAGCTTCTAATTTTATTCCTGAGCGACATCTTTTTTTTCCCCCCACCTCATTGCTGGATTGATGGCTTCTGAACTCTTTGCCAACGATGGGAAATTCGGTTGATTCACATATTATTATTTTTTTTCATAAGAACTTGAAGGGATAAAGTCTCCTTCAAGTCAAATTCAACTCCTGGTGCCTTGACGGATGTGTCCACGTTGTGTTCTTGGCAACAATGGAGAAATGGTTGCCAGATTTGTTTTTTGTGGTGCCCGTGCGTTCTACCTTTTGTGATTTCCTGGTGGTGTCCCATCCAAGGCCTAACCGGGCACAATGCTGTTTAGCTTCCAAGTTCAGACAAAGCTACCTGCCGAGACCCTAAGCTTTCCCTCCCCTTTTAAAAAATAAAAATAAACTCAATTGATAAAAGGTAAATGTAAATGTTCCTCTTGCACATATGTGCTAGTCGTTCCCGACTCTAGGGGGCGGTGCTCATCTCCATTTCAAAGCCGAAGAGCCAGCGCTGTCCAAAGATGTCTCCGTGGTCATGTGGCCAGCATGACTCAACGCCAAAGGCGCACGGAACGCTGTTCCCTTCCCACCAAAGGTGGTCCCTATTTTTCTACTTGCATTTTTTACGTGCTTTCGAACTGCTAGGTTGGCAGAAGCTGGGACAAGTCACGGGAGCTCACCCCGTTACACGGCGCTAGGGATTCGAACCGCTGAACTGCCGACCTTTCGATCGACAAGCTCCGTGTAGCCATTGGGCCACCGCTCGATTGATAAATATGTTTGAAGTTGAGTCTGTGGACCTGGTTGTTTGCTCTCCGTACTTGGTTGTTTTCTTGCAGACTTCATCATCCAACTACGTAACTTCATTGGGGGCTAAGTGATGACATTATTACCTAGCACTGATGGTGTTACCTAGTTGGGTAATGAAATGTCTGCAAGAAAGCAACCAAACTCAGAAGGCACCAAGGTTCCCTCATGTCAACCCTCAGCTACAAATTTTTACCTTTATCGGTGAATATTCGTGCAGGACAATGTCACTCTTAAGGCAGGGGTGAAATCCACTTACCTTCACTACCGGTTCACAAATGGGAGTGCGCGCTCGTGCACAACACCTCTGTGCATGTGCAGAGTGTCAAAAATGGGACATAATGACATCCGGGCAGTGGGCGGAGCCTCCTGCTGCCGGCGCTACCGGTTAGCTCGATCCGGATAGAACTGGCTGCATTTCACCACTGCCCTAAGGCCATCTGAGAACTATTGGGTCAGAGATGAGGAAATTTGTTGAGGAACATCTGGACCATGCATGTTTTGGTTGCTGCCAGCCGTTGTTGGTCACGAAAGACCAGGTCCATCCGTGAAGGTCCAATTAAAGGGATTTATTTCTAAACAGCCTATGCATAGGAATCTTCTCAACTAATCATTGGAACTTGCTTGGAATTAGATCAGGGATCCACAGAATTCAAGAAAGGTTGGACTGAGTTCGCTTGTGGCTACGTAGGGATTCTAAGCTTATTCCTCTTTTGACTCCACCCCAGTTTCTGCCATTCCTTCTCCTACAGCCATGTACTGTTTTACAAATGAGCGGTTAAAGGTGATGACTAAAAAGAAAATGTCCTAGGGCAAGCTTGAGATGAGTTTTTTGGGGTTTTTTTGGAGCAAATGGTTGTTACTCCTTCAAATCACTCCCCACCACTTGTCTGTCTCACTTCTGGACTGGGAATGAGTTGGACACAACATCCTTGCGATGAGTCCAGAAAAAGGCCTGTGGGCCATCGTGAATAGATGCAAGATCTTTAGTCGCAAAAGATGATACTCTAATTGTCATGCACGAGAGAATTAGGACCACACTTTAAGTTCCAGTTCAGCTGATTTATTGCTCATGGCTATACACAGTAATCTAGCCACCTAACAGTCAGCATTAAATTGGCACTAGATAAGAACCAATAGAATTCAAGAGGAGTTGGACTTAATCTGTTTGTGGCAATTTAATGATTCTAGGCTGATTACTCTCTTGACTCCACCTGCCTCTCCTTCTGCTACACTAATGCGATTTCTCTCTCTCTTTCTCTCTTGCCCTGGGTAGGATTCTGGCTACAGCTGGGACCCAGTTTGACCTTCGAACGCTGAGAGCCGTCCGTGTGCTGAGACCCCTGAAACTTGTCTCAGGAATCCCAAGTAAGTGGAAGAACGCGGTTTAACTTTGATTCCAACTCTCATCGTGCTTTGCCCCTTTGCATTCACAGAGGGCTAGAATCAGTGGTGTGATTCAGCCGGTTCGGGCCAGTTAAATTGCTGGCCCTGCCCCTTCCAGGAGTCCCCACACACCCCATTTTGGCTCGCAGATAAGTGCAGAGAGACCTACTAGGTCCAAAATGTGGCCCGTTTTTGCTCCCAGGAGGATCCAGGAGGACAAATGCCGCCTGTCACACCCCGCAGTCCCTGCTACTAGTTCACCTGAACCGGTACGAACCGGCTGAATACCACCTCCGTTTCTCATCCAGGGAAATTTAATATTCTGCCTCTTTAATATTTCTCAAATTCATTTCATTCTTCTCGGAGAGGGGGTGGGTGCTAACTTTCTACAGTAGGCTCTTGTGAGGTTCAGCCTGAGCAAAGCCAAATCAAGGTGTGGATCAGGGGTGAGTTCTACTTACCTTTACTACCAGTTCGCAACGGGATCGCGCAGATCGCTGATGATGACATCCGGGGTAGTGGGTGGGGCCTCCCGCCAGTTTTACTACCGGTTCTTGCGAACCGGTCCAAACCGGGGGCAATCCACCACTGGTGTGGATTTGAACTCAAGCTGATGGAAATCCACAGAGAGCTGGGCTAGAAGTTAGTAATGTTTGAGGAACGTCTTTATCCCTTCCTGAGATATTTTCTGGTTGGACTCCTCCCTTTGCTAAGCTCCTCCATGGACTGATTCTCTTTTTTTTTTTTCCCTTGCCCAGGTTTACAAGTTGTCCTCAAATCCATCATGAAGGCAATGGTACCCCTCCTTCAGATCGGCCTCCTCCTCTTCTTCGCCATCGTGATGTTTGCCATCATCGGTCTGGAATTCTACATGGGCAAGTTTCACAAAGCTTGCTTCTCCAACGAAACAGGTGGGTTTCATGGGAAGACCAGTCTAATAAGATAGCTTTTATATTTTAGTATAAATGTTTTTTATTGTTTTGTATCACATATTCAATTTCTATATTGAACAGTGCGTTTTCTAGGTGTCCAAAGTATTAACATATAAACATCATCATAATCATTATAATCATATACCATGTTTTCCCCAAAATAAGACCCTGTCTTATATTTTTTTTGAACCCTGAAATAAGCGCTTGGCCTTATTTTTGAGGAGGTCTTATTATTTTGGGGTGCGTGGAGCAAGACGGGGATCCTCTTGCCGTCTTACCTGATTTCCAGCTCTGTCTCCCTAACCCTAACCAGAGGAAATGGCGGGGACCGGCTGCACATGTGTTTAAATATTTTCGGGGAGGGCTTATTTAACTTTTTTTTTTTTTTTTTTAAAAACATCCCTGCAGGAGAGAGACTGGGAGATTTCCCATGCGGTGAAGACTGGCCCGCTAGGCGCTGTGAAGAAGGCACCTGCAAAAAATACTGGGAGGGCCCCAACTTTGGAATCACCAACTTCGACAACATCTTGTTTGCTGTGCTCACGGTCTTCCAGTGCATCACCATGGAAGGATGGACCGATATCCTCTACAACGTAAGTTCTGCTGGCAAAAGGCCATCTAATGCAGCACATATCTCCTGCCCATCTCCTGCTTAGGATCTTCTCGGTTCAATATGTATTTGATAAGAACAAGAATACAGCCAATCTTATCTCTGCAAGAGTGGTGTTCCACAGAGAGGGAGCCATCATGGAGAAGGTCGTTCCTCTTGGTCTCATTAGATGGACCTCCCCTAGGAGAGGGAATCTGTAACATTCCCTGCCTCTATGTTCTGGTGGGTTGAGTAGATATATCTGGGAAAAGATTGTCCTTCAGATAACAGGAAGGGAACCATCATGGAAAAGATCCTTCTTCTTGGTCTCACTAGATGGACCTCCTTAGGAGAAAGGACTTCTAATACTCCCTGCCTCCCTATTCTGGTGGGTTGAGTGGATGTAATCGGGAAAATATGGTCCTTCAGATAACAGGGAAGCCATCATGCAGAAGATCCTTCTTCTTGGTCTCACTAGATGGACCTCTTTAGGAGAGAGAATCCGTAACATTCCTTGCCTCCTTGTTCTGGTGGGTCAGGTAGATATGACTGTGAAAAGATGGTCCCTTATAATAAGCTGGTTGCAAACCATGTAGGCCAGAGAGACAGCAGAAGACTTGTGTTGGATTCAAAAGGGTTCCTTTTTCAGGAACATGGCATTGAAAAATTTGCAGGGAACCCATCATTCGTTGTTGTTGTTGTTGTTGTTGTTGTTGTTGTTGTTGTTAAGGGTTTTGTTTCTCAGAGATCTCAAAACTAGGTTCTGACCTTGTTGGATAATAAGGTTCAGTGGTGGGTTTCCAATATTCCAATATCCAATATTACCACCGGTTCATCGTGCGTGCTTGCTTCACACATGCGCTTCCACGGATGCACCCAGCCTTCTGTGCATGTGCTTTGTTCACTCACACACCTTCCGTGCATGCGCCCGGCCTCGAAAACATGCCTAAATAGGACAGCATAGAGCAGGGGCGGGTGGGCAGAACCCACCTGCGATCTCCGCTACATGTTCACCTGGTACGAACCGGCTGAATACCGGTACTGGTACAAACCGGCTGAATATTGTTACCGGTACAAACGGCTGGATACGGTACCGGTACAAACCGGCTGGATACGGTACCGGTACGAACCGGCTGGATACCGGTACCGGTACAAACCGGCTGAATACGGTACGGTACAAACCAGCTGGATACCGGTACCGGTACAAACCGGCTGAATACCGGTACTGGTACGAACCGGCTGAATACTGGTACCGGTACAAACCAGCTGGATACCGGTACCGGTACAAACCGGCTGAATACCGGTACTGGTACGAACCGGCTGAATACTGGTACCGGTACAAACCGGCTGGATACCGGTACCGGTACAAACCGGCTGAATACTGGTACCGGTACGAACCGGCTGAATACTGGTACCGGTACAAACCGGCTGAATACTGGTACCGGTACGAACCGGCTGAATACCGGTACCGGTACAAACCGGCTGAATACTGGTACCGGTACAAACCGGCTGAATACTGGTACCGGTACGAACCGGCTGAATACTGGTACCGGTACAAACCGGCTGAATACTGGTACCGGTACGAACCGGCTGAATACCACCTCTGATGAGGTTAGGAATATATATATATATTTTTCCCAATAGAACTTGCTCTAAGTTCTAGAATTGGAAGCAGACGATACGTTTTTCCAGATCAAAATCCACCCCCCCTCTCTCCAAGTTGCTCCAGGCTTTCTCCATTTCAGATATATAATTTATGTTGGGGGGGGGGGGGGGAGAGCGAGCGAGCGAGCAATTGAGCTACCGCTGCTGCTATGGTTACATAATTAGGAGTCAAATATCCTTTTCAGATTTACTGGAAAAACACTCACGGAGTTACTTATCGGATCCAGAAACAGCTGTACTATACGATCTGGGGGGTGGGGGGGTGGGGGAAAGGAGGGTCTTTGTTTGTTTGTTTTTCCTTCTACTTTATTGCAGTCATTAATCAGGGTAAGATATTTGTTTTGCAAGTGGGGTGAGTGAATGGGAAGGGGAGAAGTGTACCTTAGGAGCCACTTTGCCAGTGGGCTCTATTAAAGAGCTACAGTAGAAAGGAGGGAGTGGTGGAGGAGGGGGAGCGCTGCGGATATAAAGTTTTCTGTTTTTTTGCTTGAGCGTGCACATCTCACAGAACATAAAGGGACCTTGGAGGTCTTCTAGTCCAACCTGCTAATCTAGAAGGAGACCCTCTACCGTTCTGGACAAATGGTTGTCCAATCTTTTCTTAAAAACTTCCCATGTTGGAGCAACTTCTGAAGGCAGACCGTTCCAGTGATTAGGATAGGATAGAATAGAATAGAATAGAATAAATGCAAAAGTTAATACTCATGAGGAATAATACACAACTATTAGTTAATCCTATATATTATTATATTTTAATTAAACAGTAATTAATTTATATATAGAATTTTTGTATAAAATGTATAATTAATTAGAATTGAATAGATAGCACTTGTAAATATACAATATGACTACACGTTGCCGACCATATAGTTTGAATTGTAATATATTCTTAATTCAATAAAATTTCATTAAAAAAAAAAAAGAATAGAATAGAATAGAATAGAATAGAATAGAATAGAATAGAATAAATAGAATAGAATAGAATAGAATAAGCGGAAAGGACCTTGGAGGTCTTCTAGTCCAGCCCCCTGCTCAAGCAGGAGAATCTATACCATCTCAGACAAGTGACTATCCAATCTCTTCTTAAAAACCTCCAGTGATGGAGCACCCACCACTTCTAGTGGCAAGCTGTTCCACTGGTTAATTGTCCTCACTTTTAGGCAGTTTCTCCTTAATTCCACATCGCTTCTCTCTTTGATTAGTTTCCAACCATTATTTCTTGTCCTGCCCCCTGGTGCTTTGGAGAATAATTTGACCCCCCCTCCTCTTTGGGGCAGCCCCTCCAATACTGGCATACTGCTATTGTGTCACCCCTGAGTCTTCTTTTCTTTAGACTAGCCAGACCCAAAACCTGCAGCCGTTCTTGATATGGTTTAGTCTCCAGGCCTTTGATCATTTTAGTTGCTTAATTGACGTAGTTGATTAATTGTTCTCACCATCAGGAAATTTCTCCTTAGTTCCAGGCTGCTTCTCTCTTCTGTAAGTTTCCGTCCCTTGCTCCTTGTCCTGCCTTCAGGTGCTTTGGAGAATAGCTTGACTGCCTCTTCTTTGGGGCAGCCCCTGAGATATTGGAAGACTGCTATCATGTCTCCCCTGGTCCTTCTTTTCATTAAACTAGACATGCCCAGTTCCTGCCCAGACTAGACATCAGTCTTAATTCTGCCTTCGAAGACTACAAATCAGAGGTGGGTGTCAACACATTCTGACCAGTTCTGGAGAACCGGTAGAGGAAATTTTGAGTAGCTCGGAGAACCAGTAGTAAAAATTCTGACTGCCCCTGCCCCCATCTAGTCTCTGCCTCCCAAGTCCCGGCTGATCGTGAGGAAATGGGGATTTTTTTTTTTTAATTTGATTTATATGCCGCCCTTCTCCGGAGACTCAGGGCGGCTTACAATGCGTTAAGCAATAGCCTTCATCCTTTTGTATATTTATACAAAGTCAGCTTATTGCCCCCACAAACTGGGTCCTCAATTTACCTACCTTAGAAAGGATGGAAGGCTGAGTCGACCTTGAGCCTGGTAAGATTCGAACCTGCAGAAATTGCAGGCAGCTGTGTTAATAACAGGGTGCATTAAACCACTGTACTACCAAGGCTCTATTATTTTGCAGTAATCTTCCCCTGGATTGGGGTGGGAATGGAGATTTTATAGTATCCTTCCCCTGCCACGTCCACCAAGCCACGCCCACAGAACCGGTAGTAAAAAAATTTGAAACCCACCACTGCTACAAATGGATGGTCAGAGGAACATATGAACATCTCACCTGAGTCTATTTTAGCACGATTACACTCAAAAATTAGCGGACGTTCAGCCGTATTGAATTCTTAGTTCAGAGGTGGGTTTCAGCAGGTTCTGACCAGTTCTGGAGAACCGGTTACAGAAATTTTGAGTAGTTCGGAGAACTGGTAAATACCACCTCTGGCTGGCCCCGACCCCATCTATTCTCTGCCTTCCGAGTCTCAGCTGATCAGGAGAAAATAGGGATTTTGCAGTATCCTTCCCCTGCCATGCCCACTAAGCACACCACCGAGCCAAGCCACGCCCACCGAGCCACGCCCACAGAACCTGTAGTAAAAAGTTTTGAATCCCACCACTGTCTTAGTTCCTTTGTTTTGTTGGTTCGTTGCTTGGGAGCGGTGGTTTTTCTTTTTTTTCCCCCCTCCCTTTTCTGTTGTCGAAAGCAAGCCGAAAGCTTTTTACTCAAGTTTTCTCTGGGAAGCGAGCGTCTTGTACGAAGGGCAGACAGGTTAATGCACCGAGAAAGGTTTGAGGAGGAGGAGAAGCTGTAAAAAAAAAAAAGAAAGAAAACATTTTGCTTTCTCGAAAGACAAAACAAGGCCACCGGAGGAGCGTTAAGAAAGGTTTTTGGGTTTGTAAGCCAGGCGGGGTTGAAAAAAAATGCCCCACAAAATGACCAGGCGTTGTGGGGAGAACGGACGGACCTTGGACCCTGGCTGCAATGCTCCAATAGGAATAGAGATTTCAGTACTACTGATAGAAGAGAATATTTGTAGCTCAGGATTGAAATAAGGGGTCCTTGGTGCTCTCTGAGCTTGGTGGTTTTTCTGCAGACATTTCGTTACCAAACTAAATTAGATCATCAGTGCTAGAAGGGAAGGGAGTTGGTGTTGTGGCCTGCTGGCGGCCAGCAGAGCTGGCAGCAGCGTCGAACAGTGAGGAGGTTGGGGAGGAACTTGGGCCAGTCCCGGGGCTGGGGAAAGGTAGGATGAAGGCTCTGCATCGGAGGCAGAGAGGGGGCCAAGGCCATTTGATAGTTATGTGCAGCCTCTGAAGTCTGACAGCAGCGAGGCAGAAGAACAGCGGGAGCCTGTTCCCAGTG